ATGTAGCATGAGTATAAGAGAAATCGCCAACAGTAATCCCTCTGCACACATGAAATAGAAATGTAACAGTGAGATGAAAGCTCAGAAGCTGCGCTGTTTCGGTTTACCATTGCAGCGCATTTTTTTTAGCTTTAGCACGTTGCATGAATATAAGTTGAGTCACGAACGCGCGAGCAGTCTTTTGTGTGACTGGGAATTCTGATAATATTTTGTTGTGGATTTTTTGAAGTGCAGATAGTATTTGTTTCCTTACGAAAACGTGCACTTGTAGAGGATGCCCACGCAGACCTGTTCAGAGAGAGCGGTGTTCATGGCTCTAGTCTGAACCCAGTCTGTGTAAGTAAATATATGTATCTATACGAGAACCAGAATTCACATCTCTGTGAGTGTCGTTAGACGTATTTAGTGAACTCTTTTATTTTCAGTGGTTCTTCCAGCCTGTGCAGAGCCCAGGCCTCTTATTCAGTTCCGTAATCATTTTTCACGCCGGTCACGGTAGCCGAGCGGTGTAAGGCATGTACTGTCTTCGCTAGCTTGGAAACCGGGATCGTGGGTTTCAATGCCCCTCAGGGCATGGATCTTTAGTTTGTGTGTGTGTGCGTTTTTCTGTGTTTGTGTACAGGTAGAGGCCTTGCGACAAGCTGATCACCCGCCTAAGGACTCCTACCGAATGTGTAAGACTTAGAAAAACCGAAGTGAACAGAGAAGTTCATGGAGGTAGGCCTAGGCCCAGTGGGGCTGTAGTGCCAAGGAAAAAAATCATTTTTCACAGTCGGTAGGACTCCTTGGACGAGTGATGAGCCCGTCGCAAGGTCGCTATCTACACAGGACAACACAAACACAGAATGAACGCGTACACACACTAAACATTCATGCCTTGTGTGGGATTCTAACCCAGATCCCGGCTTCCTAGCTACCTTAGACCGCCCTCATAATGCCATTATTAACCTCGAATCGAGGCCCCACTAGGAATGAGTGGGGAATGTGTCTTCACAGAAGACCTCTGTGGTATGTAGAACGGGATCTACACTTATGTAATTTATGAGTCTGGATAGCTCAGTCGGTTTAACGGCGAGCTTACGGGCTGGACGAGTGGAGCTCGATTTCCGGCAAGGACAGGGATTTTTCTCTTCTTCGCAGTGTCCAGACATGCTGTTGGGCCCACACACCTTCCTATCCAGTGATACCGGGGAATGTGTCCACGGGGGGACAGAGCCTTAGTTAAAAAAAAACATCTGTACAGGACTGAGATGAGAAAACGGTTGAATAAGATCTCGCTGTTACTTCACCGTGTGAAATGTTTTTATTATGTATAAAGGTATTTCACTGAAATTCAGGGCATACAGGTTGGGTTCGTGATCTCTTTCCCCCTCCTTCCTACCCCACAAGTCGTTTTAGTGACCAGTATTCAAGTACTCATATCTTTCAGGGCTCAACACATCCCTTTCTCGTATAATTTTAATTGTGGCGCCGGCGCCTCTGGCGGTATTGTTCTGAGTTATTCTGTAGTCTGTTCTATATTACGCCGATGGCGAAACCAGAGGCATTTCTGTTCAGGCTGCATCACAGGTAAAGTATGTATGTAACTCTGTGATTGGCATAACTGATGATTTAAAATCGATCACTACCAGTCTGCGTGGGCGCTGTAGAAACTTCCTTTATGGTGCTTCGAATATGTGCTGAACAAAGTTTTATACTCAGAATTACTGGGTTTTCGGACTTTGCCCATCGTCCGGTATTCTAAAAGTTAGAAAATGCAACTCTTCGGAAACTGGATCTGTTTCCGTCCTCAGGTGAGGGGGGAGACACCTGCTCTGTTGGGTTCCTTAGGAATAGTTAACCTCAATTACGCCCGTCGGAGTCCTTATCAGTAAGTCAAGGTCTGTTGACTGCTATCACGAATATGCTAAATAATAATAGGGAAAAGTATTTTAAGTACTTCATCATAGTGTGAAATTTATGTGACGTAATGTGTATTGTCACGCGTGTGAGTGACTGTGGACGGGGTTTGGATTGATGATTGGATTTACCGACCGCTTTAACACACAACTCGTGACTACACTTTACAGCTCACCGTTACAAACACACTAGTGTTCTCAGTCTGTTCAGTCTCCACTAGTCGTTGCTTGGTAATGGCATCCAGTGCCGGACGTTCCCTCTCCTTCTTATTGCTAGTGGGTGGGACTGAGTCCCTTGCACTGCAGCCACTTCTGGCCTATTGTACCAGCCCCAGATGATAGGTGAGGGTGATTATGGAGCAATTGGTGGAATGAATATTGGCAGGGGAAACCGAAGTACTCGAAGAAAACCTGCACAAGCGCCACTTTGTCCACCACAAATCCCACTTCACTAGACCCGGGATCGAACCCGGGCCGCCGCTGTGGGAAGCCAGCGACTAATCGCATGAGCTATGGCGCGGCCCACCTGAAGGAGTGAGTAAAACTATGCAAAAACATAGTGCATACCGGATGTTTCATAAGAATATGGAAAATGATAATTATAGGTATTAACGAAACATGTATTTACTCGTAATGTCTGATACCAATTTTCCGTTAGTCAGGAATCAGAAAATAAAATAAGTTTTCTATAAGCGGTTAATGCAATGTAGAACATGTAATGGACCAACGTAAATGAAACTAAATTCTACAACTTTTACTGTAGATCTCCAATAACAAATTTCATTGAACCCTGCTAAGCAGTTTGGAAGATCTACCCAGCACGCGGTCAGTTTATGCAGTTCACGTACACATGGAATAACAACGCGCTGTGATACTGTTACATACACTCTCGTGTCTCAGTTGCAAATGTATACCCGTCTAAATTAATGCGACGTGATGTCGCCGCCTACAGATGCAGACAAGTTTTTCAATATCCTGCGTAAATTATTACGTTACAATGTGCAAACATGCAGCCATATGTTTGTCTGTCATCCGCATTCTTAAATCTGATTTGTTCAACTTCATTTTGAAATGTAAGATTTGAGGCTTTCGCGGCGGTGACTATGAAGAAAGCAGTCTTCTGGAATTTGGCACCGTGTATATGTGGTGTTAACCGACGTTTCGGAGGAACGTATCGCCTCCATCTTCAGGGTAGAAGGAAAAATATAAGAAATCCGCACGCGAAGAGACCGTTTGAACCGGTAAAGGCAAACTGGTACTGTACTTACTGGCTGCGCTGCAACGCGCCTTCTCTTCGTTCCACGAAGAAATGAACACATTTATTTTCCTTAACTTGAACAAAGGCACTTCTCGAATGGTAGAATTTTGGGTCGTGTCACCGTGTGCCGGGCCTGTTGTAGATTGATACCGATGTTTCGCATGTACATCCTGCCTCGACCTTCAGGATTATGCAAGCTGAGAATTTATCCACAAGAAACAATCTGATTATTATTACTGTACCGATATAAATCAGTCTGAGAGACTGGCACGGGATAAAAATGACTGAATAGTTCCACAGTCTGTTTTCGGAATATCAAGTGCTGAAACATATAATGCAGTTAATACAGAAACCGACGCCTAAAAGTAGGCCATATTCTGACGTAACCTTCTGCAATGTAGGAATACTACAGTGAGAATTCGCGGGTCTGAGCGGGTACGCCTTCGCCGTTACATTGCGTGCTACAAGCGCTCATGTTCAGCTCTCAACACACATTAGCGTAACCTCCACTCCCCCAGTATATTTTCATGACGTATTGCTTACACAGGCGTTTAACGTTTGTTCTGTTTCACATGGCAGTGACGCTGCCTTGAGTAAAAACGAGAATCCATTTTCAAAAGAGGTACATCAGACATCAGACATTGCGAATACATATCTCCCTTCATAATGACTAGATACCTACCCCACCGCTCAACAAAAGGATGTCGGAATTTTATACCTTTCTCCTTTTATTTAATTTCATGGATACCTTACAGTTTGCAATATCTACCTTCGTAAAGGTAAAAAAGTAAATCTGTCCCTACGCTTAACTAATTAACAACAACGCCATGGCGTATGGGGGAGTGGATGTATAAATCCACCTTTTCTTGACATCGGCCCGGCTGCTTTACCCCCGGGGAAAGAGTCCCCGCTACCCATTGGATATGGGGTAGGATGGACGTCAGAGCCGGTATGGACGACGTGGAGAAAAAATTCTCGAACCTACCGAACTCGAACTCCGATCCCTCGGTCGCCCAGCCCGTAGACAGTCGCTATACCGGCTCCTATGAGCTTCGTACAAGAATAAAAGATGTTATAAGCAAAATGAGTGAGGAACACAAATACAAGCAACTGGAGGTCACGACTCTTACCGCGCACTCATTTCATATTAGCGTAGCTACCATGAGCTAGTGTCATCGAATCCATAAGCAAATATCCAACTCATACGATCGTCAGCCTGGTCCATCAAAGTAAATATACAATTTATCTTGCCATTCACAATCCCATTTCACACACTATTATAGCGAAACCCGCCTGCTAAAATTAAACGGGGAATCATTTCTTTCGTATCTATATCAACCTCGTTCGCCTCTTCCTCTGTCTTGCTCCTACCCCTGTCGTCTTCTCTCTTCCCTTCGTTACGTGGAAACTACGTATCTGTGGAAGCGGCGTGAGAATGACGTAATAACCTACACAGCCAATCACAGCCGCATCCCATTACATACTAGCCTACGTTATATACTTGTCGCATGCAACGCTACAATCATCAAATTGATTCATCGAACCGAAAATGTAATAAATTCGTAGGGTCGGTAACATACATTAGAATAAATAAACCATCATCCTTGTATCTCATTTCAGTGCATAATGATTATTTCCACCCACACAGTCTTCCGCTTCCTGAATTTGTTGATTGTAACGCCACATTTCGCATCGTCAAGATATTTCTAATTGTGAACACACAAGAAACGTTCATACACAAATGTAGCGTGTTTCGCTACTGAAGACGCCTTTCGTATTGGTAATTGGTTTTATTAACCACTTACAGGTCGTAACTACAAATAATTATAACACTCTAAGGATTACTGTAATTGTAACACACAAATAAAGTCTTCTATACAACCATGCACTAGCCATTGCTAGGTAACAGATCTGAATTATGGCTAAGCCTTAACAGTGTTTTCACTATTCGTTTCCTGTCAACGGATTTTACACAGCAGTTATAAACGTCTCAACCACACACTCCCAATATCACTGTCCTACAGCACACACGCTAAGCCTACATGTCAATGCATATGAGGGTATATGATCGTCCTTGTGAATTACACCACAACGTCATGCTGGTCTGACGAGTTTTCTTCCAGTTTCGACTGCGTCCGCCAATCATTCTTCAGAAAACAGGTCTCGCGCTGCTCTTCTCCAACTGTTCCTTCCTCAGGGGCTCCGTGGGAAGGCGGCAGTCGGTCCAGATGTGCTACCACTATCTTCGGTGTTATCTTGTATACTCACGTATACATCATACAAGCTGTTGGCCTAAGCCTCAGGCAAATATGGCATATGATGGCAGGATGAAATTTTATGTATGCCGACACAGTACATCTTCAGCTCTTCTCGACTGGAATTACTGCAGTTGTTCGCAGATCTTCAAGCGCTTCGTGGGCACTGGATGGTAGTTAAATTCGTGAGTTCCAACCACTAGGCTTGTGGGAGCCGTCTTCATTCCAACAGGGACAGGAACTGCCACTGTAAGATGCACATCCCCGTTAATGAAGTCTCTCAAGTTGTACAAAATGCTTTTGTATTTTTGTGTCATGGCCGCAATAAAAGTTTCCCCTGTCTCCAGAGCCACGTGGTACTCAACGAGGAAGAATAAGTATTCGTCACACAGCAGACGGATCAGGTGAAGGGAGGTAGATCTTGATAAATGTTGAAGGGTTAGGTGTCTGAAGACCACGGAGCTGTAAAATGACCAATTGAGTAAGAACTGTCTTGCAGCCGCGGCAAAGGTTGGTTTTCCTTCATGTGGTTTCAACACCTGTGCAGTGATACCGTTCAGCCAGACTATCCATGGCTCCAATGAATTCTGCTGATGTGGTGTATTTCTGAAGTGTGCTTCCAGTTGTTGTACCATGCTGTCGTCACACTGAAACGCCCATGATGCTTGTTCTTGCACACTGCAGAAGTCAACTCTATTGAGGTCCTCAAGTAACTGGTCTGTCTGTGAAGAGTTCTCAAGGACGGAACGTGCAGCTTGAGCCAGACGGTTTAGTGAGCTATAGCGACGTAATCTTTGTGCCAGTGCAGTCACAGTTGATATTTTTATGTACGTAATTTCCTCAGGGCAGCCTTTCATAGCTCCTGTTAGCCACAATTCCAGCATCTCTGCAAAGTTGCGAATTGCGTGTGCTAATGATCTCGAAACTGGCCGAAGGACATCAGGAAAGAGGACCGCAAGTAGATTCTGATAAAACAGGCAATCCACACGCCAAACAAACTGTTGAATTGGCCAACTACTGCATAACAGATACAGTTTTGTTTTGGACAAACCCTTCTCTTCAAATGCATCGTCACTCCTTTTATCCTGGCAACGCCAGAATTTTGTCCACAAACTTTCAACTGTCCGGAATTCCAGGTTCACAACTGCATTCAGGAGTGCCTCACAGTGTTCTCGGTAGATACTGCGAAATGTGTCCACATCTTCCACGGTGCAGTATTGAGGTATGGGAATTTCTGGAGGAAAGTCTATAACTGGAAATTCAGGTACTGCTCCTGCTCTATCGCTGCTGATAAGGTACTGCTGATAAAGATGCTGTGATGCTGAATTTGAGATATCGCAGCTGCCTGAATGCTTTGTAGTATTTTGCTCACACTGGTATTCTCTCTTCTGAATATCACTTATTCTCCCATCTGGGCGTGGCGGCAATTTGTAAAGTATCTGTGATGATGGTTGGCGAACAACTGAGTTCTGGTCTCCTGAAAACTGATATGTTTCTGATGCACGAATTGCACGAATACCAGAATAGTGATATTTAGAATTGCCCCTTTTACCAAGTCTTCTCAATACCACGCCAGGAAAAATAACATGGATGCGCTTCCCTAATATTGGAGCAGTAACATGATATAATTTGTTTCTCTCGCAGTGACGGAGGTAATGATCACGAACTGCAGAACGGAGAATAACCGCACCCTCAGCTACTTCGTAATTTTGCTTCAACCACTCGTCAATGTCTTCCGCGTTGTAGCTGTGGTATGAAGAGTTAGAAGCCTCATCTCTATGCGGAGGAGACTGATTCGTAATTCCAGCAGTCAGACTTGGTCCTTCAGATCCGTTCTCTTCAGAATGTTCGGTATTCGTTGGTGCATTTACACTAACAATAACACTAGTTGCCATATTTTTGTGACCAGACAAGAAATTTGGTTGATAACTGGATTTACTGAACGTTTGTGACTCGTAACTACAACAAAAGATTATGCTCTCAATAAGCTACACACTCCACAAATCAGTACAGCACACACTAAATGTTCTGCGTTGTAAGTTGTCACTAGTCCTTGCTATGCAACAGCTTCTAACACTTCCAAACACTCCCGAACACTCCCAGTACTGATGTCTGTTCTGTCTGTAACTGTCGTTATATAGCCCCCCTCACTCACAACCGACCGATTGCATACGCCTGTTACGTGACGTCACAGGCTGACGTGGAGCTGCGATTACTGAGCGTTGCGAAACAAGGAGCTGGGTGGGGGTATGTGACGTCACTCGCGGAAACGTGGAGGTTACGAGGCGCAATCCAAGCGTTCACAGAGCTGTCGCCTAGTAACGCGCCGATAGAACCCGCAACTCGCCAGTTGGCCGCGTGCCCCGAGGCCTCTGTGGCTCAACAGATCCTACATAGAGCAAATACGCCACGTTTATTATATATATGCACGTTTATTGTCGAGCCACTTCAGCTACCATAAACCCACCGAGACTGTCTTGTGCCTGACTTTGGCCGTCGCGGTAATAACACGGCGACTAGGCGCCTGCACTGTGTCACGTCATTCTCTTTCGGATTCAGTTAGTGAAACATAAACTATGTTTCGTCAAGAATGGGTCTGTGATCTACCAGATAGAAAGTTTAATGTAATTAAAGGTTTTCTATATACATGCAAAATTCCATTCGCCTAGTTCAAGAGGTTTATAAGCCATCGTCATAAAACTGAAACATGAAGATGTCACAAAGCCGACATGATTTTATTCAAAATGCTACAAAAAATGCTTTTCACATGAGTCGTGTATATTTTAAAGATTTATCACCAAAATTTTCAGCACCCTACATTAAGTGGCAATACTGACTCTTACACCTCCGAAGTTCGCATGGCCGCCATGTTCATTGCATGAAATTAAAAATTAAAAGTAGGAGGTGATCTCCCATGTGATGCTCACACCTAATTTTATAAAGTCACTTAAATGGTTCGAAGTTATGTCAAGGGAAAACATGCAGACATGATGTAATTGCGTACCTTTCCACGTAAAATAAGAGAATTACAGAAACACAATTTACAGGGACGGGGATCGCTCCCTGATTAATCGTAAGTGCACATTTGCTCCAAGGATCGCCCAACACGTTCACTATACAGAAGCTGGCTTTATGCGCTCCCTGCATGAAACATAATGAAATAAATTCTTGAATCAATTGTATGGTTAATCGTGCAAAAATTTCTATACAAATACAAATAATTAAAAAGATAGATTCCCCCTTGTTAGTTAAGCACCAAGTCACGATGACGTGTACTTGTCAGTCTGTGCAGTAAGTGGGCTACGAGCTGGACAATAGGGATTCCATTCCACGCAGCACAGCGTCCAGTCCAGCTCTGGGACCGACCCACCCTCCCACTAAGTGGATACTGAGGGGCAAAGCGGCCTGGAGTGAAGCAGACCTCCATCCGGCTGCGAACTGATGTGTGAACGAAGGAAGTGTATGTTAAGAAAACAAGTTCTGGGAAGAACTAATCGTGTATTCGTTGCAGCCGTAACGTTTTTACTGTGCTTAACTAAACACAGTAATGACTTTGCCTTACCTTTACGCCGTTGAGATGGGCTCAGGTGCCATGATACGCAAACCAAGTTCCATAAGCGCTGGTTCAGCCATTGAAACATTGATAGGGAGCAGACACAGACAACATGAAGATAGTATTCTTATACGATCTTCATGTTGTCTGTGTCTGCTCCCTATCAATGTTTTTTTTATCAATTTTTTTTTAGAATGACGAAAATAAGATAATTAAAACACAGTTTCTGACTACGTGCAATTTATTTATGTATCGTGTGATGAGCGTTGCAAAAGAAAGAGTTTGTATTACTGGGTTCTTTAACTGTATCCATCGTCCGGTCTCCAGTGGTCATGATATGGTATTGAAACGCGTTCGAAATACGAGTCGAAAGTGGCTCTGGGTTCGTAGGAATTACCGTCTTGTGGTTTATCTGCAAGAGCTCGTGAGCGACTGCATTTCAGTTAAAAATTCGTATTTGCTGTCAGCATCAAAAGTCGTCAGTCCAATTTGAACTTGGTTGGAACAGCTTGAATACAACTTCTACTCCACAGGAAGCTTAAATCCTAAACCTGTGAACTAGCTCCATGATGGAATCGCTGAGAACCTAATTAGCTGCTTAGCTAGACAACGATCCCCGAATTTTACAGAACCCAAAAGTTCATTGCTGTCGTCACAAAAGCCCGTTACTGGTATCCATCCTTAACCATACGACCCAGTCCACCGTCTCCAATTCTAATTCTTTAACATCACTTTTAATAATCTTAATAGGGTCTCTACCAAAATTTTGTGAGCGTATTTGTGATGTCTTCTGCCCATGTGTGCTATACGCCTCGCCCATCTCATCCTGCATGACTGGATGGTCACTCTAATAACATCTGGCGACGGCGGCCAAAGAACTTAAGAAGATCCTCACTATGGAGACAGAAAAACAGATACAATTATATATGACAAGTCCGTCCAATGTGACTACTTCAGTTATCTCACTTGATGATTCACTAGCCTTACATGTTTCGATCCATTTGGATCATCTTCAGAGGCACCAAACACTTTTTTGAAACCACTATCACAACAGTTGTCATAGAAATATACATGTAATGTCCAAGTACACAATGCTCCATCTATCAGTCACAGCAGCCTTTCTGGTTATAGAAATATTTAAAGTTGTTTTAAAGTTTTAAAAACTTTGTTAAAAATTAAAATGAAACAAGTCAAATTCAGAAAAACAGATAATATTATTATAGGGAAGACAACATAGACTGAATCGAATGACAGCAAAAACTCGCTGAATTTAATCAAATTTTCATTTTTTCAGGAATGTAATTCTGATTTGTGAATGTCATTCCTTAATATCTGAACACACTACCGCATTTTTAGACATTATTTTCTAAAAACTGATCACACGAACAAGAAGTTTGGAGAAGGAATAATTGCCTGCCATCCTCTGATACATGTACCGCATATAAAATGTCGCCTCCAACATTTCTTCGTTGCCTCGGGATTTACCGAGCGTTGCCTATCAACGATAGATAAATATACAGGCAGACCCACAGACTCTCCTTTGATACAAGAAGGACACCACAGAGAACGACGTGTTCAATAGTTCTTCTGTTGCTCTGTGTATCCGCTGCCGCGAAAACGCGTTTACCGAGCCGTTGCCTAGCAACCATAAAGGGGGATAACGCATACAGACACGGAGACAAGTGGGAGGGATTTATGAAGTAAAGTGTTGAGATGGGCTCAGGTACCATGATATGCATAACAAGTTTCATAAAAATTGCTTTAAGCGTTCAAAAGTTGTTAGGGGGCACGCTGTAGCGTAGTTTGTTGTGGCATTATGCTACAAGCCAGAAGGTCGAGGGTTCAAGTCCCGATGAGGTCATTGGGTTTTTTCAATTGACCTAATCCTTTCGGCCGCACTATGGCCTTGGGGTCGACTCGGCCTCTAACAGAAATGACTACCAGTAAATAATTAAAAAAAAATCTGGGGAGTAAATGGCGGCCGGCGCGTAAGGCTGACAACCTTACCGCCATCTTTGAGCCGATTGTCTAGATAATGTGGGACCCTCAACGTCTTACAACCCTATCGGCCTTCACGGCCTTTTACTGGGATAGCTTTACTATTTTTACTTTTTTATTCAAAAGTTGTTAGGGGAAGGGGTATATGTATATATATTGTGGCGTATTGGCTCTATGCAGGAACTGTTGAGCTACAGAGGCCTCGGGGCACGCGCGCAACAGTAGAGCTGCGGTATGTATCGGTGCGTTGCTAGGCGAAAACTCTGTGAACGCTTGGATTGCGCAACAGGAAGTGTGACGTCACATACCCCCACTCATCACTTCACGACATAACGCTCGGTGGAGACCCCTCCCCGCTAGGCTGTGACGTCACGCAACAGTAGTAGCTATCACGTAACTGGTTTCTGTGGAGTCCGTTGCTGGGCAACCGCTCGGTAAGAACGTTCCAACAGTATAGGCTGTTTCTGTGTTGTCGGTGCGGAGATTACATAACAAGAGATACCGGGAGAACATAAGGGAGTATTCGGCGAGTATTTGGTGTGAGTGCGTGTAACTAAGCTGTTAATAAATCCAATCATCCGAACTAGAACCTGTCATTTCGTCACGCGTACCCTCTACACTTGACAGTGTATATATGTATATATATATATATATGTATATATATATATATACACACACACACACAGCAAGGTGATTTCATGAGTCTGCTTTATTTTTTTAAAATAATGAAAGTAAGTTAAACTGGGAAAGGTAGATAGCAAAGTCATCCGTGTGCTTAATTAAGCACACGCCATTATATAGCTGTTAATAACTTTTAAATGGAACATTTTTCGATAGGTAAATATCAAAGTCAAAGTTATGTGTAAAAAAGGAAAAAGGAAACGATGGTAGATATGGCATCAGTGAAAGAATACATATTTGGAAGAGTCTAAGAACAATATGCTGGGGAGAATACTTGCACCTAAGGGGGAGGAAATCACAGCATACTGGAGAAAATTTCCAAATGAGGAGCTTCGCAGTTTGTCTGTTGCTCGCCAAATAAAATTAGGATGATCACTGCATCAAGCATGGTGAGATGGGCGCGCCAGATCCAAACAAAGTTCTGGCAGATAACCAGATGGAAAGATACCACTTGGATGACCTATTCACTGATAGCAGGATAGCATTAATGTGGGTCTTGAAGACGTAGGATAGGGTATCGGCTTCAATAAAACGCGAGGGAGTTCTTGGTCAGCTGCGCAACTATTAGCTTGTAGTTGCTCTGAAACTGCTAGGACAGTTGCCTAGCTGTGAGACGGATGGCAGACCGGCGGGGGTCACCCGTCCAGACCGTCTCTGACTCTCAACGGCTATCGGAGGGTGAAGCTCACCACTCATCTTCACTACGTTTCCAAATTCATACCGAATACATCCACTTCCCATCGGTGTGTTCATGTAGTGGCAAGGCGTGCTCTACGGTATCAGCACACAGTGCACACCCCTAGTAAAGCAACCCGAAGGGCGGGAGAACTGGCGAGTAGGAAGTTATCATGGGAGTAAATTTCT